GCTTTTATTCTGTAAGGATGAATCTTTTTTTTTTTTTTTTTTTTTTGATACCAAGGATCAAACTCGGGATCTTGCACTTGCAAGGCAGGCAGTGGAACCACTGAGCTAAATCCCTGGCCTGAGGATGGATCTTAAGAATGGGGAAGAAAGAAACTATAAGTAGTTTGTCTTTTTTAAAAAATACACATAGTGTAACTTTTAAAAAATACAGTTTGCAGCACACTTGTAATTCCAGCACTTTGAGGCTGAGGCAGGAGGATCACCATGAGTTCCCAGCCAGCTTTGGCTAAATAGTTCAAGGCCAGCCTGAACTACATATTGAGACACTGTCAAAAAAAATTGCTAAAAATCTTTTTTTTTTTTTTTCTTCCTGTTTTTTTGAGACAGGGTCTTACTATGCAGTTGAGACTGATCTGGAACTCACTATGTAGCCCAGGCTGGTCTTGAACTCACAGTGATCCTCCTGCCTCAGCCTCCCAAGTGCTGGGATTACAGGCGTGTGCGCCACCATGCCCGGCTAAAAATCTTATTAAGTGGAATGATTATAAATACAGACTTTTAAAAATGAAAGCCCTATTAAGTCCAATTTGTTAGTATGAGATACACTTCTATGAAATGCTCTAGAAGGAATAAAAAGACATAAAAATACCTAATTAAAAAAATAGATCTGGGCATGATTGCACACACCAGTAATCCAGCACTTGGGGAAGCTGAGGCAGGAAGATCACAAGTTTGAGTCCAAATAATAAATAAAGAGCTGGGTTGTAACTCAGTGCAATGGCCCTGGGTACTCAAAAAAGAAAAGAAGGAAACAAGAGCACAAAACTTGAACAAGATTCTGACAGAAATATTCCAGAGGGCCAGCAATTAGAATTTTATCAGTAAAATGGAAGTCCAAGTCAAAATGATATCAAGTAATAACTTCAGAATGGGAAAAAGTGGAAAGATCTAATAATATGAAATGTGAGTGAGGATGCAGAACAGCTAATGGGGCTGTAATGCATACAGTCATTTTAGAAAACAGTTTAGCATTGCTGGACATAGTGGCAAACACCTGTAATCCCAGCACTTGGGTGGCTAAGGCTGGAGGCTCACCAAGAGTTCAAGTCCGTCCTGCCTGAACTACATAGCAAGACGCTGTCTCAAAACAAACTATGCACACAAAACAGTGTGGCATTATCTAAAGAAGCTGAAAATATGAATCCTTCTGTTCCTTCCACCGCTGCATGCACATAGTAAGGACATTTGTGTATAACCACCAGAAGGCACAAGAATCTTCACAGAAACATGCTTCATGATGGAAAGGACTGAATGTAACCCAAATGTCTATCAACAGTAGAACAGACAGATAAATGATGGCATTTGAATCTGCCACAGTTCAAATGTTTGCATAATTGCTACAGAACAGCATGATGAATCTCAGGAACTTAATTCTGAGAGGAGAAAGCAAGTGGTGGAAGACAGTGCCCCACAGACTTACAGAAAACTCAGAAAAAGTCAGGTGTGGTGTCACACATCTAGAGTCCCAGCACTTGGATAGCTGAGGCAGGAGGATCAGCATGAGTTCAAGGCTAACATAGGCTACATAGTTAAAGGACAGCCTGGAATGCATAGTGGGACCCTGTAGTGATGGCTCCACCCTCATGACCTCATCCAAACCTAATTACCTCCAAAGACCCCACCTCTAGATACTGTCACATTGTGGGTTAGGACATCAACATGAATTCTGGGGAAACACAAATATTCAGTGCATAACAGTTTCCCTGTTCACCCAAAATTCTATGATACTGCCATGTTTTACTGTCATGTGCTATAAACCCTTAGTACATTCCTACTGTTTTTGCTGCTAACATATACTTTAGAGAGTGAGTTCGAACATTTTTTTCCAGTCTTAAATCTGTTAGCATTTAAAATGACTACCATTTACTATTCCTAAAGATCTTTACATTTCTTGGTGTTAATCCTAAATTCTGTCAGGTAGCGTGTGTCTTCTGTCTGAAGAATTATCTTAACATTTTTTGTAATGTAGATTGGATCGTTGTAGATTCTCTCCATTTTTATTATTTATCTTTCTGTTTTGAAAGATACTCTCACTATTCATGAAGTCGTAACTAGGGTTTCCCTTAGCACTCTTGGGATGTTGTCTTCTGACTTGACAGTTTCTGATGGTGTATCTGCAGATTTTCTTACACTCTTGCTCCTCTACATATTTTGTGCCCTTTGTCCTATGGTTGCCTCAAAGATTCTCTCTCCATTTTCAGCAATTTGAGTATGATGTATCTAAATGGTGTTTCTTTAAATGTCTTACTGGATTCTCAGGGTTGTTTTGTTTTGCAGTGCTGGGGATTGAATACTGGGCCTCACACGTTAGCCCAGTGCTCTGCCCTAGCCCCAGTTTGGGTAATTTCTGTTGCCGTTTGCAAGCTTGCTGATCTTCCCTTAGCTGAGTTGGATCTACTGACAAACAAGGCAAAGGCATTCTTTATCCTTTTCACTGGTTTGATTTTTATGTCTAATTTCAGATGGACTCTTCCTTACAGTTTTTCATCCCTGTGCTGAAATTCCTCATCTGATAATACATGTTGTACCAACATATGGGACAAATCTGGTCCTTTAATTGCTTTACTGCTTGACCCTTGTTTTTTGTTCTCCTTTTTCAAAAGGAAAAAAACTCTGAGTATCTCGTGATTTTTTTTTTTTAATTGAATGCCAACCATCATTATAAGACATAGAGATGGGGTAAATAGTAAATAGCTTGTGCATCTAGAAATACAGCCTCTCATACTTGGCAGTTATAAAAACATGAGTCAGTCCTGTCCGGAGCTAGACTGGGTTTGGATTTTGTTGTTGTAATTACTTTGTATGCAGTGCCAAAGTCCATAGTACAATTTCTCTTGCATGTTACTGTGCTTAGGGTAGGACTCTGTCTTCTATGGTGTCTATATCCTGAGAACATCTCTTGTTTCTACCCATCATCTTCATAGACTGCTGCTGCGTCTCACTTAGGGCTTGCTGGCCTCAGGAAATTGGAGGCAAGTAGAGCTGTGCTTTTCTGGCCCATCTTCATCCAGTAGGTGCTGTGTCAGTGGGTTTCAGGGGTAAGACCTCCCCTGTGCACCTGATCTTTCCCTGGCTGTGGGAGACCTCTAAGTGGGTCCATGATAGTTTCCTGCCCCTCCATCAGAAGTAGAGGTTTTTTCTTTTCTCCTCTTCCAGCCACAGTGACTGTTAGCAGTACCTCCAGGATGACAAGTTCATTTTCTTCCCTGATTTCCAACTTCTGTTCCATACAGAAGGGACCAGGCAAGTGTCTGTCCTCCCTTCTTCAGACTCAAACCTCCAAGGGAGGGAGATCCATGGAGAAGAGCCATGGTGTCTGTGGTTCCCCAGCAACTCATTAAGAGCTTTTTCTTACATATTCATGTGGTAGCCCCACTTTCCTTCAGCATGGACACTTCAATGCACACATCTCAGGTTCTTTTTTGTTTTGGTTTGGTTTTTTGTTTTTTGTGGTTTTGTTTTGTTTTTTGAGACAGGGTCTCACTATGTAGTTGAGACTGACCTGGAACTCACTATGTAGTCCACGCTGGTCTCGAACTCACAGCAATCCTCCTGCCTCAACCTCCTGAGTGCTGGGATTACAGGCGTGCGCCACCACGCCCGGCTACATCTCAGGTCCTAAGCTAGTCTATAGTGTGACCTCAGCTCTGATGGGTCTGAGAAAAGATGAGGTTTTGTAGGTGATCTTGCTTTTTCCAGTTGTTGGGGCAGAAGTGATGCACTTTCCAGCTTTCTTCCTCAGAAAATCTAAAAGGCCTAATAACCACTGTCATATGAAGTTGGATGACCTCTTGTTCCTCTGCCCTGATGTGGGGCTGGGCCACCTCTTGTCCCCTCTGCACACAGCTTGCACTCCAAACACAGGAGCTGTCTTCACGTGAAGTCTTTGTGTGTGGCATCTTTAGTCTTGACAGCTCTTAGACATGCTGTCCTCAACACCCCTCAATCCCACCCACACAGTCTATAGAATCTGTGGCTTGAATCCAGAAGTGTCTCCACTCTGGTCTTTTCTGTAGTACTGTGCCCCTACAGACTTCTTTCCATGCTGAACTTAGCAGCATATTCCTACCTCATTCCTCTGTGTCTCCAGTTTTGTCTGCCTCCAGTGGAGGCTCCACATGAAGTTACTTTCACAAAGAGGTCACAGCACCATTCCCTATGTACGAATCCTTTGGCCCCAGGATGACATCTCTGGTCTGCTCGCAAATGACCAGACTGCTACCTGCCCGCACAGGCCAGTCTTTGCTGCTCATATGCTACCCAGCTGCGTGGTCTTATATTTCTTCCTGCTCCACATGGCCTCTTGAAGCTCAATCCACTCAGTCTGTAGGACAGCTCTAGGGAGGGTACTGGAACTGTGTCCCCTCTGCCATGTGCCTGTTTGCAGGAGAGCTGCCACCTCAGAATGCAGGTCACCTCTTCCTCTCCAACCCCCATTAGTCTGAGTGCATCCCTGTGTGGAATTCTGTCTGATTTCTCCCTTTACTTGACAGAGCCAATGTCAAGGCTATATTCCACAGTTTAGAGTCATGTTAACATTTTCATTTTGGATTTGTTGTTTCAGAATGCAAAACCAAGGAAGAGAACCTAAACACAGACTTGAGCCTAAAGCCATTAATTTCAGAAGAGGTAACAACGATTCTGGGGAAAACATCTTTAGTGGGGATTGACCAAGAACATAACACCAAAGGGAGCTTCTGCCTGAATGCAAGCCCTGCTGGCCACCATGAGACTCAGGGATTGAAGGGAAGGGAACCCCTCACTCAGCACCAGGCAGTTCCTAGTGGAGACAGACCCTTCATATGCATCGAGTGTGGGAAGTGCTTTGGTCGGAGCTCCCATCTCCTTCAGCATCAACGAATCCACACTGGTGAGAAGCCCTATGTGTGTGGTGTGTGTGGGAAGGCCTTCAGCCAGAGCTCAGTCCTTAGCAAACACAGGAGAATCCACACAGGGGAGAAGCCCTATGAGTGTAATGAGTGCGGAAAAGCCTTCAGAGTGAGCTCAGACCTCGCTCAGCACCACAAGATCCACACAGGTGAGAAGCCTCATGAGTGCCTGGAATGTCGGAAATCCTTCACTCAACTCTCACACCTCATTCAGCACCAGCGCATCCACACAGGAGAGAGGCCCTATGTGTGTCCCTTATGTGGGAAAGCCTTCAACCACAGCACAGTCCTGAGGAGCCACCAGAGGGTACACACAGGGGAGAAGCCCCACCAGTGTGGTGAGTGTGGGAAGACCTTCAGTGTGAAGCGGACTCTGCTGCAGCACCAGCGGAGCCACACTGGGGAGAAGCCTTACACATGCAGCGAGTGCGGCAAGGCTTTCAGTGACCGCTCTGTCCTCATCCAGCACCACAATGTGCACACCGGGGAAAAGCCCTATGAGTGCAGCGAGTGTGGGAAGACCTTCAGCCACCGCTCCACGCTGATGAACCATGAGCGCATCCACACAGAGGAGAAGCCCTATGCATGCTATGAGTGTGGCAAGGCTTTTGTACAGCACTCACACTTGATCCAGCACCAGAGGGTCCATACTGGGGAGAAACCCTACGTGTGCAATGAGTGTGGGCATGCTTTCAGTGCACGCCGCTCTCTGATCCAACATGAGAGAATTCACACGGGTGAGAAGCCCTTCCAGTGCACAGAATGTGGGAAGGCCTTTAGCCTGAAGGCAACTCTGATTGTTCACCTGAGGACTCACACGGGCGAGAAGCCTTACGAGTGCAATAGCTGTGGCAAGGCCTTCAGCCAGTACTCGGTGCTCATCCAGCACCAGCGCATCCACACTGGGGAGAAGCCCTATGAGTGTGGCGAGTGTGGACGTGCCTTCAACCAGCATGGGCACCTGATCCAGCACCAGAAAGTGCACAGGAAGCTGTGACCCAAGGGCAGCCCTCAGGAGCACCTGCACGCACAAGAACTGTTACAAGGGGCACAGGCAGCCTCCTTGTCAGGGAGCTTGTTTCCTCTACAAGACATGCCAAATGATCCAGCATCACTGCATGCTCCCAAAGAAAGGCACAGGGCCTGTTCCTGTGGAAAACTTCCAAAAATGTCTGTATCTTTCTCAACATCTTAAAGTTACATTGGCAGGTAATGGTATATTTGTAGTAAATATTGATAAAGATAGCCATAATTCTTTGTTTCTTTAACATTAGTTTACTTGAAGTAACTAAGGGAAGTTAAAGTATAAGAACTATTATCTCAACATTCCAAATAAAGTTATTTTCCTTAGAATCTACCTGCCTCTCCTAAATACAACTGACCATCCTAATTGTTGTTCCTAAACTTATAATGTTGTACTATTTTCAGTACTCCATGAAAACACTAAAGTGCTGTACAGATAAAGTGATATTTTAAAAAATGAATTGTCAAGTATAATCATGTGAAATAGCTGAAAATTCTAAGTGCATGGAAATATCTGTTTTGTATTAAAAAAGAAAAACTTTCAAGATACATTAGTGAGAAGTGTCATAAATTTGGAAAACTCTTTACCTGATGCTTTAACTTTATTCAAGATCAGAAGAAATGTCCTAAAGGTTCAATAAAAATTCAACTCAAAAATTAGTATTTTCCTTAAAATCTGTCCTTATGACCTACACACTCTGTAGCTCAAAGATCATGGAATCTCTAGAGCCTGCAGGTCCTGACCAGGAGTAGAACAGGAGCACCATACAAAGTGGTCCCTCTGCACACCTTCTGTTATTTCCAAGAAAATACTAAAGAGATAATTCTTTGGTACATACTTTTAAAACATAAAATTCTTAAACTCAGCTTTTTGACTACTCTTAAGAGTCTACTATACTTGAGCTGGGTGTGGTGGTGCATACCTGTAATCCTAGCACTCCAGAAGCTGAGGCAGAAGGATCACCATGAGTTCAAGGCCTACCTGGGTTACATAGTGAGTTCAAAGCCAGTCTGAACTCCATAATGAGACCCTGTCTCAAAAAAATTTTTAAAAAGTCCACTATACTTTAGATTTTTCTTTCGTTTGGTTCAGGAGTCTAGGATCCATTGCTATGTGCCGTGATCAAACTAGTTTACTCATAATTAAAATTGTATTTGCTCAAAATTATTTGCTTGATTTTAAAGATACAGTCCTTATAGTTGGAATTTATGTCAGCGACATTTCTAGTAGCCAGCTGCAAAGGAAACAAGTATTGAATCACATTCAAGGCCCTTTTGAACTTAAACATTTTAAGTGCCTGATAGAGAATTCCCTCTCTCGCTCTCTCCCCCCTCACTCGCGTCCCCTCAAAATAAGCTGTAGGGCAGTGATGGCAAACTTTATAGAGCTTTTGACAATACAAACAGCCTGCTGTGGCATGCGTGCCATAGGTTCGTCCCCATGCTCTAGGGTATTGATCTCAAGTCCTCAGTAATACACCATGATGGAGACAAAATTATTTCACCTTCTGCAGGGACACTGGTGAGAGAAGGTGACAACACTGATGTGCTGAGAAAAGAGTTAAGATCACTAAGGTGTGAACTCAAGCTGAGATCACTGAAGTAAAACTTCAACCAGTTGACATAACAGGTGTTGCTTTAGAGAGAAGCTAACTCACTGCAGTGTTGCTTCAGACTAAGGCCTTTACAGAAGACAAGAGCACTGAGTGTGATTTTGAAAAAGAGCCGAGATTAGAAGTAGCACTGAAGGAAGAAAATGAGGTCACTGGTTGCTTCTTAGAGGAACTGGCATCATAGTGTTCTGAAGAGTTTACCTAACTGAAGAGAAAATCCAAGAGAACTGGGATCACTGAGGTGACTCTTCAGGGGGCTGAGCTCACTAAAGTGAAGCTCCAGAGGAACGAAAATTACTGACAAAGGACTCTGGTGTGTTAGGAGTGGAGATCATAGAGATTGATTAAAAGAGAAATTGAGATACATACGGTGTTGCTTAAAAGAGGAGCTGAGGTCACTGCAGTGTTACTTTGGAATCAGGATGAGATCCTGCAAGTGTTTATAGAGACAGGTCAGTGAGGTAAACTACACAAAGCTGAGCTCACTGCAGCTTACCTAAATGCAGCTGAGATTGCTGAGGTGGTGCCTCAGAGGGATCACTTGAGAGGCTGAGATCAGTGGGATGTTATCTCAGGGAGGCAATGGGACCACTGTGTTATCTCATAAAGTCCTGATGAAGCAAAGCTGCCAACCATCCATCTCCAGTTGAGCCCAGAGTCTGCATCTGTCTCTCTCGGACTCAAAACACACTGCTACTCAGAACACAATTTCTAATCCTGTAGAAGAATTAATAAAGTCATGTTCCAATCAAGATAAGAGTTTAATTAAATCTAATGTACTGGAATGTTTGTTTAGAAAGACTATATCATAAAGTAACTTAAATTACATAGTACCAGTGTGCTGGATTGCTAAATTTTCCAAATACCCAGGTTTCCAGGGAACTCTTTCCAAAACGTATAGTTGGACTGCCTTCCTTCTTAGACAAAGTGTGCTCAGCGTCTTCCTGCCTATTCTTGCTGTGTCAGACTGCATCTGACCCAGTGGTGAGCCTGCAGGCTTAATCATCCAGAACCTGAAAGTGAGCATCAGTGCCCCTTCTGGACAGGATTCCCAAGCTCCATATTCTTGTCACTCACTTCCTCCTCTCCCAGGAACAGGTGGAGCACATGGCCTACTGGAATGCAGGAGCAGTTGGCCTTGAGGTGTGTGACACTGCAGGCCAGAATGAGCTGTGGGCTCCCCTTTGTGATAACGGCCTTCTCAGCCATGACCTCCCACTTCTGTCAAAATCATTCCTATCTTAGGGCTAGGGATTTAGCTCAGCGGTTCCACTGCCTTGCAAGCGCAAGGACCCAAGTTTGATCCCCCATACCAAAGCAAAATCATTCCTATCTTGTTTTCAATATTTTATTTTTACTCAGAAATCTTTACATATATGTATTTAAATATTTATTTCTCCAAATGACTACCAAGAATTTGATATAGTATTTTTCAAATGTTCTTACTTTGGGAAATATTTTAGTTCATCTGGAGTTTATTTCTGTGTGTACTTTGTATAATCTGACACTTTCCAATAAAAAGCAATGACTACAACAAATATTTGGGATGAAAAAAGATCACTAATTTTGGCATAAAGATTTCCTACACATCAGTGAACACAGGGCATGTGCAAGCAATTTCAAATAAAGAAAAATACCACTGTTGGTGATAGGGAAAACTTTAATAGCAAAAAATTTAGGAAATGTCACAATGTAAAATAACTTCTGCCCCTCACTCTACTTAGTTCAGAATTAACCAGTATGGGAGACACCTAGTCTCCCACAAAAGTTTTGCAAGTGAAAAGAACCATTGTTAGCTTTGTTAATCAAATAAGCTCCCTTCCCCCTGGCTAGAGTAGGTAATTGAATGAATCTAAAAGGTAACTTCCCTAACAAAGAACTGCATCGGGGTTGAAATTCAACTGCCTTGCTATTATGTTTTGGATATCAGTAATGTGAGCTGTGAAAATGCAGTGTAACCAACTGAGTAAGATCAAAGCTATAAAACCCTACAAAAGAAGGAGTTGTAACTGAATGGGGAGTTGATTAGGGCACCTCCATTAGGTATCATCGATCTCATCTGATGGAGTAAACTTTATTTTACTTCCATTCTGCTGCCTATGTGTCACTTGCCAGTTCCTTCTGTAACAATGGAAGCTCAGAAAAGGCTCAGGTGCCAATCCCAAAACAAAATGTGCCAGCTTCTCCTAAGGCAGTGGTGTGACCCACCCTACTCCAGAGGGTGATGACAGCATAGAAGGACTAAGCTGGGCAGGCACCAGACAGTCCCAAGGAAGGAAGGACACTCCTAGAAGACAGGCTTGGAGCACAGACCACAAAGGCCACACAGCGCACACCAACTGATGGTAGAGGCCAGAAGGGTCTTGTCTTGGAGTTGGACTTGCCCTGGGGCACAAAACAACCTTTCAGGCAGTACTGAGAACAGCACATGGACCCTATGGTAGCTCACCTGGGCAAGTTTGCGGGGTACTTTAGGTTTTCTACTTATAAGTTCCTGAGCTGAGAAACTCAGGTGACAGTTTGAAGTTCATGGGTCCCAAAACTACTTCACTGCTGGGACTAGTCAAAAGTTTGGGCACCCCCCAAATCACCCTGAGGTTCAGTAATTTGCTGTGAGGACTCACAGAACTCACCCTGAAAGCTGATATACTCCTGGTTATGGGTTATTACAGTGACAGTGACAATGAAATGCAGTGCCAGTCGCAAGCATGCCAACACAATTATCAAGCAGAGGTTAAAACTGCAAAGTCCAATAAAAGGAGGCTGTTTAGTAACAAGATTAATCACACGGCCACGCTCATCCCAGCAGGCAGGCAAATGGCTTGGCAATAAACCAGTGCTGGTGACATTACACATTGGCACAATGACTCTGGAAACCATTAGGATAAATACATCAATGTCCTTTAAAAAGTTATCCTTCTAGGGATTTAGCTCAGTTGTTCAGCCACCTGCCTCGCAAGTACAAGGTCCCAAATTCAATCCCTGGTACCAAAAAAAAAAAAAAAAAAAAAAAAAAAAAAAAAAAGTATCCTGTCCTTAGAAATGTGTCCTACATGCATAATTTGAAACAATAATTAAAGCCCTGAAATTATACACTTTGGAATAAGACATAAATGGTCCCAATTTATGATGATTCAATTTTGACTGTTTTTTGTTTTGGTACCTGGGACTGAACTCCGGAACTTGCGCTTGCAAGGCAGGTGGCGGCACCACTGAGCTAAATCCCCAGCCTTCAACTTTGACTTTTTAACTTTAAGATGGTGTAAAAGTGACACACATTCACCAGAAACTATACTTTGAATTTTCCCAGGCTAGTGATATAGGGCACAACACTCTTGATCTAGGGCAGGAGGAGAGAGCCGCAGCTCCCAGTGACCTATGCAACTATCAGGGGAAACAACCAATACTCCATAATGTTAAGCTATGATCTATAGGTTAGGCATAGAAAATGCATTTTCAAATTACAATAGTTTCCATTCACAATAGGTTACTGCGATCCAACTTCATCATAAATCACCCAAGTGATACATTTTGTAAGCCAAAATGTCTATTGAGCCAGGCATGGTGGCACACATCTGTAATCTTAGCACTCAGGAGGCTCAAGCTAGAGGATCATGAGTTTGAGCTATGTCTGGACTACACAATGTAGACTTTGTCTCAAAAAATATGGATTGGGAAGCTGGGCATGGTGGCGCATGCATGTAATCCCAGCACTCGGAAGGCTGAGGCAGGAGGATTGCTGTGAGTAAGAGACCAGCCTTGGCTACACAGTGAGTTCCAGGTCAGTCTCAACTACATAGTGAGACCCTGTCTCAAAAAAACAAAAAACAAACAAACAAACAAAAAAAATATATGGATTGGGTAGAAATTTGATACTATTTAAAGGAAATTATCATGGAAGATGGCTGAGTAAGAAGTAAAGAAATCCATCCAACCTCCTAAGAAACTAAGTTGACAGGAGCTCTG